GCCCGGCTGTGCGGGCCAGCTCTGTCCCCCCAAAATACCCCCGGCCCGAGCCGCAGGGAGACGTCACCGAGCCGTGACGTGCTGTCGGGATCTTCACGGCTCTTGCCTCCTGAAGCCTGGTTTGTTTGGTTTTCTCAGCCCTCGTAGCTCGATTTCCGAGAGGATCTGTTTTTGTTAAAAATCTCCTCTCCCGTCCCATGGGGTTTGGGCGGGTGTTTAACTGGAGAAAAATACAGAAAATGACGAACGTGGTGAAGTTTTACCTTCGTATCGCGTTCAAGGTGACGTTTCTAGGGCGTGCGTGTTAACAAAGGGATCACCGGGGAAATGCCGCCATCCTTGGCTGGTTTGCTGCCGAGGTGACTGGCGAGAGCTGGGCATCGCCGGCCAGGACCTGTCCCGGCCCCGGCCCTTCACCGACAGACAGAACGGCCTCTCCCCCGGTGTGAGCGTGGGGCTCGAGGATCCAGTCCCTGCCACGTCCCCCTCTTCCAGGGCACGGCAGGCTGAAGATGCCAGCCGCGTGAGCGGCGGTGTTTGTACGACGGACCCCACCGGCGGAAAGGAGCTGGCCGCGCCAGGGCGGCAGCTCGGGGCAGAGGGGGGGAGAAAGCGTTGCCGGTCCCGCTGTGCCCCGGTCCCATGATTTGCTCTTCCCGGGATCTGTTATTTGTTGTCCTTATTGCAGCAATAGCTTTTTTTAGGGGCCATTGCGCAAATGCTATGTGAAGGGAAAGGCTTTACTCTTTCCAGAGAGGGTGTCTGCTGCCCAGACATAACTGTGGTTTGTTTTGATCCTACGGGACGTGTAGGTTTGAGCCGGCTCTTTCATAAATCCTGGCACGGGCACGCAGGTGATACAATCTCTCCTCCGTGAAACAGCTCACAGGCAAAAAACTGCTTTGCCCAAAGCTACAGGGAGTCATCCGTGAGCTCCTGAAATCCTAACACTTAATTGTCGCCCTTGTGGTTAGATGGAAGCTCACGTTCAGTATACACTGCCTACTTGAATGTATGCAGATACATTCTCACAAATGTTCTGGACGTACAGACCTTTCGTACGACAAGTTCTCAAACCCGACTGCTCCCACGGCTGCAGCACGACCTGCGGCTCGCTGATCTGAACACCCGGCTCCTCGGGCCCCAGAACTGGTAGATCTCGTCCGCTTGCATCATTTCTGTTTGCAAACTGAAAGAGGAAATGAACTTTCCTGGAGTGTTTTTCATCCACCAGTCGGTGACGACATTGACGTGGTTGAACCTCGTAAGGGCTGCTTGCTGTGAAGAATCGTACGCGTATTTCTGACCAAAGCTTCGCTAAGTGAAGCAGGGCCAAGCTTAGTGTATCCCCTCTCTTCCCACGCTCCAGGGAAATCTATCCCCCTGTAATGCCCCCGACGCTGCCTGACTCCCTGAGCGTGCTGCGCGGGCAGTGGGACCAAAGTGTGAGGCAGACAGGAGTTTATTGACAGCGGCCAGCAGAAAGCCACGTCAGAGCAGGAGAACCTAAAACTGGGACAAATCAGCTTGGGGACGAAGGAATCCCCTAGTTAAACGCTGCAGGAAGGGTCAGTCCTCTTTCCCCGGGCGGCTGCTGGGCCAGACCGGAGCCCCTCTGCCTGTGTCCCATCACCTTTCCTCTGCTCTTCCCTCCTCCCCAGGCAATGGACTCTCCCTACGCAAACGGAGCCTACAGCCCCCCGTACCCTCACGCTCC